TCACTTCGTGAGCTCGGCAACCAGGTTACCGGGTTTTTTTTACCTTCGTTTTTTTTTTGCAGTAACCGTGAATGGTGGTCGAGTAGATTATGTTGTTCGGGGTCGAGAACCCTCACTCCGCACACAGGGGAAAATCGCACCACGTTGTGTTACTTGATCAAGCACCCTCGAGGCAGTTACACATTGCTTACAACTGTCTCTGGAAGTAAATGCACCAGAAAATAAATGAAGTCATACGCAGCTGTCATCCATACGCAAGGAAGTAAGCACAAGATGCCGAACACCCTTAGCAGGATGCAGCGCACCCTTCATGCGACTCGCCGAATATCTCACGGCGCTTCGCGCTTGGTGATGTGAGAGCCTGGTCCGGNGTTCGTCGTGTGTTCCAAGCGTCCATAGTCCTCAGCGTCGCGCAACTGTTTTTTTTCAGCCCAGGCCGAAGGACGCAACATTGGAGTATACATCATGTGCAGTCTTGATTGTCGAAGGCACGTAAACATAGAGTGCTTGGGATCATTTGGAAAGTTGTGCTTTCGCCACCGGACCCGCCGTCCGCCCGTTTGTCGTGATACCTTAGCCAAGAGCGCAACAAGCCACTGCTCCGATGATAGGCGCCGTGGTTTATCTTCCAGGCAAGGCTGAGAGGATCGCGTGGGGAGGCTCTGCTGGTGAGGCGTGGGGCTGGCGTCGTGCTTCGTGAAACAGAGCTTCGAACTGTTGGCCCACTGGTGCTGCTTAGCTCGTGCTGTCACCATGATGTGCTGCTGTGGTAGGGGTGCTGATGTACTTTCGTGCAGGGCCTATGTTACGCCTTTTTTCGCGGGGTTGATCCGTCACCATCGTTGCTCACGTGCGCCAGTGCCGCGAGGTGATCGGCCCCGTGGGCAATGCACGCAGGTTGGCATGCATGGAGCTAGCTCCCCAATGGAACAGCTTGCTAGCAAGAATGCTAGAAATACAATCGCGTTCCATTCGGACGCTTTCTTTCCACTACTCCGTTTCCGGCCCCACTATTTATACCGTTCGACGGGTTTCCAACGCAACTGCTGCTCCTCCTCCGGCTGCTGCTGCTGCTGCTGCATCTCGATGCAATGTGACCGCCCGGCGCTCAAGACAAAAGGACGGAAAGCGACACAAGTGGTTGCTCCCAGGAGGATGATTTTGAAGAGGGAGAGATGTATCTCCTTCCCCTGGGTGCCTGTGTCGGAGAGGACAAGGAGGCCGCCGAGGCCGCAGGCTACCACCTCCCGCTCGATTGCGAGGTGCCACGGTTAATTTTCCTAGGCTTTTCGCTTCTTTTTTTCGGTTTCATACACCGAAAAGTCACGTTCCCAACCTGCTGCTGTGCCTCCAAAGCTGGATCAAGGCGAGGTTTGAGTAGACCGGATACGTATCCCTCACACACGGTATTTCAGTCGGAGCCAGATACCCGCCCTTCCCCCCTTGCCTCATCTCAACACCGCGTGATAAACTTCAAAGCTTTCGTGTATTTTTGCCTTGTGCCCCCCCCCTTACAACTAATTGTCGAGTATTCTCTACCTGTGTAGCGACGCCATAGTGTATTTTGAGTGGTTCGTTTCATTGTAGCCGTGTCTCTTGTTGCGAGCTTTGCCTGCGTGCCTTGGAGTTCCGTGTAGTACGTTTTTTCTCTGTGTTGTATTTCAGGTATTCCCTCGATAGCCTTGTTCGAACGAGCCGACGTGAAAACACCCCGCCATCGGTGTTTGCCGATGCTTTGACTCACCTGCCGGACAAATTCATGCTGACCCCACACCATCTATTTGGTGTGTGGTGCTGATCGGTTCCACAGGGCAAGCCTCACCACACACTTAGGAAACCCAACCCTTTTTCCACCAGGGGTTCAACAAATACTGCAACAACCCCGCCTCACCCTGTTCAACTAGAAACCCTAACCTTCGAGCGGTGGCAACAATAACCCGTTTCCTCGCCGGACTGGGTAGGCACTCTGCACTTTTATGGAGTTGAGGCTGTGACCGATCGCTTCGAAAACGCAGTGAGCCTTGCCTCAAACGGGCCTGTTTTTTTTGCCTTTCTGTGCGGGTCTCGTTGATGTATTTGTTGTCGCTGTCACTGTTGTTGTTCCTGCCGTTCGTATTGACATCGTCTGGAAGACGAGCTACAATGAGCGCTGGGCAGCTTTCGCCAAGCTGGTCGCTCTGCCCGTCAAGAAGGTGGTGTTCAACGCACAGGCGAGAAGCAAGACGAGAAAGATAGGCCTACGTACCGTCATTCTTGCTGTCAAGAACAACCCTCAATATCAGGAAACATGGTGTGGCATTGCTGGACGACTTATTTTTCTTGGTCAGTTGTCAGCGTCGGATGTTGCCATAGCGGTTGCACGCCTTCTTCTTGTCCAAAAACAAGCGTGTTGGTTTCGCGTGTTCACATGAGGGTGTGGGTATGATGAATGCCTCCTCCCCGTTTGCTCCCCTCGCCTCAATCAACGCCGTTCTATACAGAAAAGATCGCTTGACGACTCCGTAACGTATTGTCCCGTCTCGTCCCGTCTCCCACATCTGGTGGGAGACGAAACGACCCAGAACACGCCCTCTCTCATCCTTTCTTTTACCCCACCGCTTGTATTGTTTGTCCCCGTTTCACACCTACGACTCTCGTCATCATGTCCCACATATCATCTGCCTCTTTCCTAGGTGGCGCTGATGCCGTTGATCGCTTGGAGGAGACGCCCAGAATCCAGAACATTTCTCGCTCGATCCGCTGCTGCTGCTGCGGAAGGTGGCAGTGACAGAGATGGACACGAACCTTCTGTCGACTCTTCGCCGCCGCCGCAGCAGCAGCAGCGGCAGCATGTGTCAACCAAACACCACACAACAGTATCTAGGCTTTTTGACACGCGCGTGGCGGCTTGGATGACGGACACCGGGAAAGCGGACAAAGCCTTAGAATTTGAAGCGCTGTGTGTTTCCTGGCTCAAGGGTGAGGGGTCCGACGCCGGTGAGGATCGTGTGAAGCACAATTTCGGGGTACTGCTGTAGCTACTATTTTCGGCTCGAAGAGATGTGCGTACCCGAGAGCTCGAAGAGGGGGCGGTTGGTGCGGGTAAGATTATTGAGATTAGACATGTGTAAGCGACCGTACTGCTGGTGCGGTGGCTATTGCGAAGCGTTTCGTTCGTATGGTCACATTTGGTTCGAGGTGATTCCTCAAGGATGATGCGGTTCCTGCGGGCTGGTCTCGTGTCAAGATGTCAGCAATGCTGCACTTGCTGAACGACTCCACTCGTGGATGAGCGCAGATATCACTCGGTGTACAGGGCTGAACAACGGCAAACGGTCCGTGAGAACACGTGGAGATAGATCATTGCGTTGCCCACCGGAAACGGAGGAAAACGATTTCGTTGTCGTCATCGTCGTCGTCGCGCTCGCCGCTTTCGCTGTCGTTGGCGGCGATGGTGCGGAAATTTTTGTTTATATCACTTCTAGTACACAAGCCCGATGCAGAAGGAGTCAATGCCCGGAGTGGTGATGGAGGTCGCTTGCCGGCAATCGTGGCAGCCGTCGTACACGCTGAAGGATGCTGCAGGCGAAACTTAGCCCTAGCGGGGAAGATTTCGGCCGAGCTAGAAGGGGCAAAGATGCTGGCCGCCTGCGAACAGGTAGGCAGCGCGTCATGTCCGTGAATGTGGGAGCCTTCGGTATACACATATGTGGGAGTTTGGCTGGGAGAGGAGCGCCGTCGCCTGGGAGAGGAAAGCCATCGCCTGGCGTCGATGTTGTGTTGTGCGGATTCTCAATCGAAAGACCCAATTTTTGGCTTACGCCTGGTTCATGTTATTCATTTCGTCTTCTGATCGTGTTACGTTTTCCTGGGTCAGTCACTCAACTTGGTTTCGGCTGATGCGAACTCTCACGATTCTAAGGGAAAAAATGGGCGTCACGGTTCCGGAAAAGTACAACCAGTTGAACTCTACAATCGGTGCAAGAGTCGACAGCAGTAGTAGAAGGTCGTGGCTTGCTTCGTATTGCAAGGTACAAAGACCAACAACCACCACATCGACCAACAACAACAGCACCAATGGCATCAACAACGACATCCAGGTGGAGATGCCAACGGTCCCCGTCCTCGCCGGGATGGAGGTGTCAGGTGTCGTGTTCCTGCCGGAGAGGGTGACTCGCTTCTCGAACGCCTTGGGGAATCACCTCGAAGGGCTGAAGCGGACTGCAGTCAAAGCGGTCGGAGGAAGAGACTTCAACCTTGCATCTCCGGACCAGGCAAAAAAGCAACAAATAGGAAAACGAATGCAACAGGGCAGGATTGATGGTAGCAGTCGGAGCAGAAGGAGAGTTGCCAGCTTCCGTACGGGCTCTTGTCAAAGGGGGTTGAGGGAAGGGGCACACGGAGGGCAGGGGGGGGGCACCGCAGTACCACGATTAGTAATGTGACTTGTGGTTGGTTGGGTAAACCCCAGGCAGTGTTGGGTTGGTGCGTCCCTGTGTCGTCGCGATGGCGTCAAGCCTACAAATCCTCAAGCCAGGTCGGGCCTGGACCTTGTAGCAGCAGCAGCAGCAGCAGCAGTGCTGAAGAGTATAGTGTTGTATGCTAGTAAAGAAGTGTCTTTGACCACTCCGGCAGCGAAATGCCGTTCTAGGAGCTCAATAGAACGTACTTGTTGGCGAAGTACTTGTTGGCAAACTTTCAAGGAATAATGTTGTTGTAAGGTTGGGGGACGCTGGCGTCTCTCGTGTGTTTTTCCGCACCTCCAGCCTGTTAAATCGTTGCCATGGTCACCAATTCAAGCGCCCGTGTTCCTCTCAAAAAGGACTGGGAGCTTTGGGAGGGCCTGGTAGCTCTGCAAACGTTAGTACACCTCGCCCTGACGGCGTTGAACCACCGTTGTAACTGACTGCCCGACCGCAGGTGGCTGACATCCTGTTCAAGCATCTCAAGCTTCCATCCCCTCCGTTGAAAGTGAGTCACAGCGGCGCACATCCACCACGCATTCGAGCCGTGTGCACGACCATTGTTTGTTTGGTGACAACGTGATCTACCTGTGCTCGGCCAGGTGGCATATGATTGAACCTCACCACAATTTTGCGTGTTCATTTTCCGTTGGCGGTGGACGCGGATGTTTCACGCCGCAATAATTCCGAAAACTATCGGTTGCACGGACGCGCTTTCAGCGCTTCATGGCTCCCTTGCACGCCGTCACTTGCAGTAGACCTGCTGACTTGTGCGCTGCCGAGCTGAAGGTAGAAGCGGTCTTGAACGTTTTTAGCGGGGTCACGTAGTCCTACATGGCTGCGCTGCCGAAGATTGGGATGTCGAAAATTCCACGTACGAACACGATGCAGTTGCGTTTAGGGTGGTCGTGGACGCGTGACGCGAACAGCCACCGGATGGTGAACCGCGTAGTTATCAAGGTGCCTCACTTTTGGCACTTCCCGACGGCTGCAGATCTTCTTGTTCCTTACTGCGGCTCTTACGGACAGAAAAATAATCTGGAAGGGTGCACGCACTGGCTCCGTTACCCTACCCTGACGTGCTCTTACCACTGAAGCTGGCTCAAGCCTCACCCCCTCCGCCCCCAATGGTGAAACAGTGATCCGCACAGAAGCTACGGAAGGTTTCGTGCCACTACTGTCCGACAGTTGGTTACCTTGCTGAATCAACCGATAGATGATTCCCTTCATCCCCTCCTGACGTCTTTTTGACACCCTCTGCCTCCTACCGTGCACGTATTTTGAACAGGCTGGGAGCGTTCATGCTTCAACTTCTGCCGAGGTGTTAGAAGGGCTGCAAGGGAAACACGCCGTGGTTGCACCTATCCTCGAGTTCCGCGGCGTGAACAAGTATAAGACTACGTGAGCTCGCAGTTGATGGGGTGGACATGGGGGTGTTGGTGTCGGCATTGATGACGGGCTTCTTTTGACGACGCCCTTCCTTAGCCGTGCGAGCACGGTAATTGGTCGTGGTGGTGGCTAGGGCCGTTCTCGCTCCTGTCCATGCTGCTTGTGTGGTGATTTTTACTTCGAGCGACAAATGGATTTACCGCGGCCGAGAAGGGTGAAAACGGATGCGTGAAATGGCGATTGATAGGGTTTTTTCATTTTCCAGGTTTGGCAACGTTCCACATAAACAAATTAATGACGACGATTCCGTATCTTGGGCACAAAATGCATCGGTCGACATGAGTGGTGAGTGATCATGGACCTTTTCATTGGACGATGTCAACCAAAAACAATTAGTGCGTACTTGCAAACGACGCGTCCCGTTCGTTTTCTACCGTTTCTCTCCATCGTACTCAGATTGTCGTAAGGGTTGGAATGGGCACCGTACCCAACCAGCGGGCGTTTGTTTTGTATATTTTCTTGTCCAGCTTGCTTGTGATTCTCGCTTGTAAGAGTTAGTTCACCACGGAAATTTTGGTCGGTTCTGACGTTCCGTCCGTCTCAATCTCCGCTGAGATTTCTTGTCTCAATTGTTGGAATACCAATGTTTGCCTCCACAATTGCCGAGCAGGTACGTGGACAAGCTCGCCGAGAGAGCTCTGGGTGCCGCGGCAGCAGACAGCGCGGTCCCAGCGAGCCAGGGGGCGGGGGCGACCAGGATTCACGCGACGTGGAACCAGACCTCCGCTAGGACCGGCCGCCTCAGCTGCTCGAGGCCGAACTTGCAGCAGGCAAGTAACCCTTACCGATACCCAGTGGTGAATGTCGTGCGCAACAGAAAGGGCATGCTTCCGGACCTGATGTGTTTCTCTGTGGAGGATGTTGCAGGCATGTAGTTGGGGCGGAGTTTGATCGATTTCTTTGGTGCCACCACTGTTCAAAGGTTTGTTGGAAATATTGTACTTAACACCCACGCCGTGCTGCACAAGGCAAACTCCGTCATAGTTAAGTTGCTTTTGATGGTTGCATCGCTGTCTCTCGTCTCTCTTCTCGTGTCGTCATAGATGCCTAAGGGCAGCGATCCACTCGCCGGAGTAGCGGGAGTGAACGTGAGGGACGCGTTTTCGGCGACGAGGTCGTTCACGCTCATGGCCGCCGACTACAGCCAAATAGAGGTTCGTGTGCGTCCCTTCTTACCGGTTCAAGCGACCGTCGGGCCGGGCGATGTGGCTGATCGTAGCCAGTCTTCACTCCCAGTAGTTCTTCCTCTGTTGTCCTCTTGAGAACTCGTCTTCATGCCATCCCCCCCCCCCCCC